TGCTGCGTTCCTCGAGGCGGACCTAATACTGGTGGTTTCATGGTGATCGGATGCCAGACGAGTGAGATCTAGGCCTCCAAAGTGACTCTTACGGTGACTTTGCGCAGGAGAGGAGTTTGCGTCGTGCGGGGGTGATTTTTGATAGTTCTTGGTAGTGGATCACTTGGGTTTGGACGGTTTGTTGCTGGAGTAAGGACTGGTGGTGATGGAATGGCGAGCGGAGTCGTGATGTGGTTGAACAGAGGTGCAGGACGGTGGTGAGCGGCAGTTGTGGAGTTTCTTGAACTATAAGGGCACGTTTGGATGTTAGGAATAGAAAGAAATTAATCACACAGGGATCGCAACCAGGCTCTGATGCCAAAATTGATGTAAAATAGAAGAGAGAAAGGGGAAGAGAAGGAGATCAGAGAAAAATATTAGAGAGAAAGGGAGAGCAGAGACGAGAACCGGAATGGAAGAAAACTATCTGATATGTCAAAAGCCAAATTTGCTTACACAATAGAAACCTAGGGTACTTATAACCTAATTTTAAATAAAATAATTAAAATGCAAAATCAATAAATGGGTTAGTGGGTGGTTAACAAAATAAATAACTAACAAAAGAAAATTAATTAATTAAATCTGCATCAATATAACATGGCTTAATTTATTAAATAGAAAAAGAAATTAGGAACTGAGTTTCAACGAGTTAAAAGTTGAGAGATTGAATCATACCAAGTTATAGTTGAGAGATTGAGTCATAACTGAGTTAAAAGTTGAGAGACCAAAAAATTAATTTTTCCTATATATATCTATAAGCCATTCTTCGATACTTCGTTCATTCTAGTGTGATCCAGCATATAATGTTGTGAGTTGATCCTTTAATTAAAAAAAAAAAAAAAGTTAACTCAGCACAATGTCTTATAGAGTATTGGTTAAGCTATTTTTCATTCTTTTATAAAGATTTTTTGTTTTGGTTCAGAATCAATAATAAGAGTATATATTAACATAAGACGGAGTATAATACAAACATGTCATAGTACTGGACCGAAGAGGAAAAGGTACGGTCGAACTTTTCCTAGTAGATTTATTAGCAGGTTCATTGGGTGCAGCAAACTTCTTTTAGCTCAAATGAGAAAACTAATGGCATTTTTTTTTTAATCCAAAAGGTTTTTCAATTTGGATCAGAATTTTGCCAAAGAATTACATCCCGAAAATTTATTAGTTCAGTAGGATGTCCAACATTAAATTAAATTCTACAATATTGGAATTAGCAAAAACATTACTTAACATGTGATTTTCCTTGACTTGAAAAAAAAGGCATGAATAAAGCTTACAGCCATCTATCAAGAAAAGTAGTACTTTATGCTGGTTAAAAAAAAAAAAAAAGGCAAGAAGAAAAGTAGTACCACATCCTGTTTTTAATATAAGAATTTGTTTGAATTTTATTTTGATCCTAAATATAAAACCTCAATCTACTTTGTCTCTCATATTTATCCATTTTTTTCCAAGGTAGTCCTTTTAATAATAGTAGTTCTAATTAATATACTTGATTAGTAAGGATATTTTAGGAAAGGCAATAGTTAGTTATTACAAATAACTAACTTAACTAATTTTCTTAATCTACTCAAATTAGTCAACTAGCTATTATATTAAAGATCGGAGGTAGTACTTTATAAAACTTTAGGGGAAAAAAAGTGTGCTTGTGACATGCTTCCCTGCTTCTATTTATAAGATCCCAAAATTTAAATTAATTTGGTCCTTTTTAAGTTAATTTGAACATTAAATGTGCTTTTACCAATTTTCTCCTTAATTAATTTTATATTCTCTTTCATTATTTATCTCATAATTGGTGAGATTTCTCCTTCTTATTTGCTTCCTCATTAAATAAAAACATACTAAAAAAAAGATGTTTAATTTCTATATATTTATTGTTTTAAACTAATTTTAATTATTTTCTTAAACTGCATAATTTAGTTAACAAAATCTTATAAAAAGTACCAGAAGGAGTATATAATTTATACAAGATAGATGTGGAAGTGTAACAACCAGTGTAAAAACTCCTAAACCCCATGGATAATATATATGTGACGCCGTTGAATTTTATGTTAATTCCATCTTCAAGTTCTTTTCAAAATATTCTTTCGAATATTTAACTAATTTGATTAGATTAAGAAAGTTAGGTAAGTTAGTTAATTATAAAAATATGATATTTTTTCCCCTAAAACACTATAATTATTTTTCTTAATATCCTCTCTCCTTCTTCTACTTGATTATGGTTGAAGGAGTATCCATAGAGATAATTTAGAAAAAATTGATAAATATAATAAATGTATCTTATATTTAGGACCAAATCAACTCAACAATTAGGTTTTATATTTAGGACCGGAGGAGGATAAGGACTAATAGTTTTAGACGCACATAAATTTGAAGGACCAAAAACACTTATTTTAAATTTTACAAACTAAAATTAAAATGAGAATAAACTGCAAACATTAATAATAATATTAACCCTCTAAAAATATACTTGATGGTGAATGTGACTGACTGACTGAATGTTCTAGTAAATTATCTTGTGATGTAGTGTTGCTAGGATGATCCCATCATGCCGTCATTCCGATCAAATTGTAAGGACGAGATTTGAGTAATGAATTGTAAGCTTTGGCTAGGCTTATGGTCTGTTTCTTTGAGCTTCAAATGCCCAAGGCACAATGCATGTTTTGGAATTCTAGTGTGGTTTTGCTTCCACCATGTTTGTCACAATTTTGTAAAATACACAAGTCTTTGAAAATGGTGTTACAATGAGTATATAAATCAAGATCCTTGAGTTAAGACCTATTTGAAATGAATTATAAGTAATTTTTTAATTATAATTTACGAAATACAAAATAAGTATGTAAAAAAAAAATTTGTCTTGACTTACATAAAACTGTTTATAAACACTTAAATAAGTAGCTACAAACAAACTAAATGTTCAACATGCGGGGTTTCAAACAAGGCATTAGGAAAGCTTTGGTGAATGGATCTATTAGGTTATCATATCAACAAATTTGTTGAGTGTCTATATCACCGTTCTTTTGAAGATTATTCTATTGACATACCGAACATCGTTTTAAACTTGTTCCCATTATTTTCCCTTTCCCATTTTTGTTTCTGTATAATTCAGCCGCCAGACATAGTCATAGTGGCTCTTACAGATGTGATGACGCATAAAATAGCAGCAACCGGGAAAGGGCTGGTGGACACGTCCTTTGGAGCAGTCTGTTCCATAAACGAGTTCTGTCTAAAAGCCAGAACTAGGAATCCCACAGTTTTAAGAGGTAAAGAGTGTATAACTCGGATTCCTCTTTCTACTTCGAAAAATAACAAACCTATGGCTTCTTCGGTAAAAACGTTATTTGTTTTCAACTTTGTCTCGGATTTCTCTAGACCCAAAGCATCTGTAATTTGTCTTCAACTGTATCTCGATTTATGTAGACCTTAAATATCTATCAATTTCATCTACGGATGCCAACAACATTTCTCACCATATAGCACTCAGAAAGCAGACCGGATAAATAGCTGAATGACTGTCAATTTCCCAACTCATTCTAGCAGACCTTTGCGCAGCAACTGAAAATAGAACAGAATAGCTATATGTGTAATCAATCCATAGAAAATCATTCTGTTCATCATAATTCATAAATAATACTACATTAGATAATACGACTCACTGCAGTTGTAATGCATGGGATCCACACCTAATTAAGTACATTCAATTTTATATGATAAATCAAGGGCATCAAACGCAATATCCCATGTTGTCAATGTGTTTTTAGGTCAATAGTGCTGTTCAATGATCAACATCAACAAAATATATCCACAAAAATTGTTAAAAATTATAATGGTGATTAGTTATCAACACTATGACTTAGCATTTTAAGTTATGTGCAAACAAAGGTCCCCTCTAGTTTTTATTAGCTCGTTGTGGCTCTCTTTGGAAGAATAGTGACAAAATAATGATGCATAGATAGAAGCAAACAGGGACCGGGCTTCTGGACACGTCCTTTGGAGCAAGCCTAAGCTATAAACACGTCTCTATCAAAACACATAAATCAAATAGCCCACCGTTTAAGAGGTGAATTTGAGTGTACAACTCAGTCTCTTTTCCCATCCCAACACCAAACTACGGCCACTTCGGTAAAAACTAAAAATGTTAGCCTTCAAATTTTTGTCCGTTTCCCTAGACCCAAAATATCCATCGATTACAACTATGGATCCCGCTGCGTCTCTATATAAACACTAGGACACCAGACCAGGTAAATAGCTCATTAACACTCAAACACTCAACTTACCATCTCATTTCTGCATACTTCCGTTCAGAGACTGTGAAGGAGAAACAGAACAAAGTATGGGCGTCGAATCAGTTGAAATGATGATGCTTCGTTGTGTCTTCGATGGAAGCATATCCATGCAGAACATGGAGGTTGAGAGGAGGCCATACCATAAGAATTGCAGCTGTGCGTTACACAAGTCAAAGAGTGGGCCCTCTGCCACTGCTTGCCAACAAAGGATGATCAGCTTCACCAAGAGAACCTCTGGGAAGCATTGTTGCCTCTCCCTTACAGCTTCAAAATCTCCCGCCCAGTAACACTGTTCTCAGTCGACAACAATCCAGTGAGGTAGAAGAAGTTGAAAACAGAGTTCAGTCACAAAATAGAGTATATCACCTGCTCCTTTCCTTTTCCTTTTGTATCTTTTGTAATTACATGCCAATAAATCTAATGACAGTGAAGTCGTATAAAGGAACAACGTAGCAGCTAGAATGGATTATCAAGAGTATGAGTGGAAGTAGAACGGAAAACATAAGAGAAGTTTCATTTAGACCTGAATAAAAGAAAAGGCTGTAATTTAAAAAAACAAGGTAAAGTAAAACAGAAAAAGAATCTAAGTGAAACATGCCTTCCCTTTTCCCTCGCTCTCCTCAGTCCAAACAAATTTAAGGTGCATCATTATATGGAACAGATAAGCATTCATACATGTTTATGCTTGTATAGGATTCTTCTTTAATTGCGCATAATCATCTCCATAGCATTTCTAATAAATAATTAAATACTACAGAAAATGTGTCACACAAAAAATTACTACAAAAAATTATAATAATTTACAGCAAATAGACATATTTATGCATAACATTCCTACCAGCACTTCACAACAAGAGTATTTGGTACTCATATTGTTCAACTTTACAGCAATGCACAAAGGTCACCTTTCAATTCATTCATTTAATTTCTTTGAATCGATTCCTGATCACCAGCTTCTTTGGACCGTCTTTTCCACTCAGTTTATTCAAAGTGAGATTACAAATAAACAAGTTATATGGATTCCTCCAATGTAATATACACAAGAAAAGAAAATCAAGGAAGAGAAGGAGAGAGGGAAGGCTTTGCAACTTGTAGCTCCCCACAGTCACTAATATAAACAGTTTTAAGAGGCCTGTTCCAGCTGGCACGAGCATTCTGGGCCCTTTCATCTCCAAAAAACTCAGCCAAATCATTGAATTGGCGAATACGCTCAGCTGGTTGGTATGTGGGAATTGCAGCTATGGCGGTGATGATGTCCAAACCTGCAGTCACATTCAACAAGAAGGTAAGCATGATAGCCATCAAAATGCAATTATCTTATTTAGCCCTTCTACAAATCAAGTATTCCAGCACTTAAACAACACCTGTAGTGTTCCTAGAAGATTAAAAAAAATTGATTATGAAACAAGTTTAGATTGTACTTTGCCTGACGATATTTCCTTGGAAAGCCATGAGATGGAAAGAATGAATCTCCAAAATTAAGCTCAACAGCAAGTCCTCAACATGATAATGATGCAAACAACCATTTAACCACCGTATAGCGGGTGAAATTTCAAAAACCTTTCTACATATAATCGCGCGCCTAGTCCAATTTAAATATGATAGAAAACACATCAATGGCAGAAATAGTCCAATATAATGACCAGAAGTGACGGCAAATAAAATAGCAACCCTAACTCTTAAGATTTTTTTTTGCAGCTAATTCATTTAAAGAGTGAATATGGATAAATGTATAATCCTGAAACGAACTCCAATGTGATCGATTTTGTTCGATTAACCCGCCAGGATGAAGACAGAAACAGATAATCACATTGATCACGTACAATAGAAGGAATTCGCAAAACCTATCAGGTAAAATTTCAACAGTGAAGCTAATAAATGTTAGTAATTTTTTATGATTTATGCTACTTCTATTCAACTTATGTTTATCATTTCATATTACGCAATTAATTTAGCAATTTAAAGACCAACCAAGTCGTCATTGTGCTTAACATCTGGAAATGCAGATTAGATAGATGCTGCTTCCTGAACATTATCAATAAAATTCTGGTCCTCATCTCGAGAATTGAGTCCACAAAAGGAACTAAATCTGGGAAATTACCTTCAAGCACTGTTCCAAAAACAATGTTTTTATTGTCGAGCTGGGGGCAAGGTCCTGGTCCAGTCGTGATCAAGAACTCAACGTTTCTGTAATTCGGATCAAGCTTAAACTCATCCTCGTCGTCATTTTCCGACAAAGGAAGCGAAAGAACACCTGCCTTCGAATGTGCCAGAGAAAACGACTTGGAATCAACGGTTTCATTGTTGCCCGCCAACTCCGAAGGTGGCTGGACCTCGCCTTTGTCACGCCGCCCCTGGCGGCCAGCGAGGAAGTACTGGCCAGGAAAAATTTTGTGAACGAGGGTGTTCTTATAGGAAGAGCCAGAGGATCCAACGCACATGGACTTGAAGTTAGAAACCGTGAGAGGGACGAGGTGGCCGTAAAGTCCGAGCACAATGCGACCCAAAGGGATGGATTCGGAGCAGAGGGAAGCAATGTTATCGCCAAGGGTTCGGCTGGGGAGCAAGTAATTGGGGCAGAGGCTGAAGTCCATGAAAACGCGGTCGGTGATGGTGATATCCGGCGGCTGTGGCTTGGTGGTTTCGGCGGCGGCTGCGGCGGGGAATCGAGGAGCGGAGGGAATGGAGAGGGCGGTAGAGGTGGAAAGGAGGAGAAGGGAGCGGCGATTGAGGAAGATTTTGGAATTGGGTTTGGAATGGGATGGTTGGCAGCTGCGGAGAGAAGGGTGGCGGGTGCGGTGGTGAGAGGCGAGGAGAGCTGGGGGAGGCGGTGGTGTTACAGAGAAGCCCATGAAGGTGAAGGAAACACGTCCATACGTGGAGAAGGAACGGTGGAGGGAAGAGGAGGCTGAGATTGAGAACGAGAAGCAGCTACGGTGGGGTCTACATTGACAGTCTGAAAATGCAATTTCAGCTATACACTTATAGGAAGCAAACAAAAAAAAAAAAGAAAAGGAAAAAATCAATTTCAAAATTTTAAATTAGTACTCTTCTAATCCTTAATATAGGACTCAATTATTGAGTTAGTTTTAGTCCTACATATAAGACTCATTTCTCATATTTATCAATTTTCTCTAAATTACCCCTATAGATACTTCTTCAACCATAATTAAGTAGAAAAAGAAGATGGGGTATTAAAAAAGATGATTATGGTGTTTTAGGAAAAATGTGTCACATTTTTTATAATTAACTAACTTACCTAACTTTCTTAATCTAATCAAATTAATTAAATGAGTCTTATATTAAGGACCGGAAGAGTATTAGTTATTACACTAAAAAAACTATATATAAAAAATAAATAACAATACATTTTTGTAATAATTCCACATTTAAAATTTTAAAATTCAACAGTATTGTTTTTTGAATTTCTCTAAAAAAAATTGTGACTAATTATCCCCAATTTAAAATATATTATTGTGAAGTAATGATTATATTAGAAGATGTTACTGTAACCCCGTAATTAATAGTAAATAAATATTTTTAAAGTGATAATTACTTCAAAAGATTAACCATAATTAAACATTTCTAAAATGATAATTAATTCTTTAAGGATCAATAAATAGAAAAGAATTAACAAAAAACATTTAGGAAATAGATATGGTAGGAAGAATAAAACCAATCAAATAGAAATCTACCATAGTCATTAACAATTAATATCCTTATCAGAGTAGTAGCTACTATTCTAGAATAGTAAAGATATTTAATGAAATAAGGAGTAATCATCACTTGATTTTTCACGTATGTATCAAATCCATTAGTAATATTTTAGAATCTCAAAATACAATTAAAACCAGTGGTAAAAGGGCTAAGGCCTTTGAAGCCTGTCAGAATAACGGTCACTACTGCCCATAACAATCACAACTAGAGTAAAAGTCACATATATCCCAACAGTATAAGTCCAGAATGCAACGGAGGAGTTAAATAACAAAAAAGCCATAAAGTTTGGTAATATACATCAATCAAGGAGTGTATAAAAAAATAGAGGCTATATAGAGTGAAAAGGGAAAGTCAAGCCTCAAACAACTTCCCCTTGAAACTAACACCTGAACCCTCGCCTGAAAAATATTAAATAACCACGGGGGAGAGTCAAATTGACCCAATAACCACAATTCCAATTCAACAAGTATACAAGGAGTGATTACAAGATAGTTAAGCGGGCAAAACACAATTTCAAATAACATATAGAATAAACATCTTTACAGAAAACAATATATAATAATTCAAAAAGTAATTTGCATACACAGAATTTCATTAACCATCTTTATAACCTTATAATCTCTAATAGAACCCATGGGCTATTCACCCATAACAGGATTTGTCTCTTTTTCAAGACTGCATCAAGCTCTCTAATAATGAGGTGTAACTCAGCCAAAAGTTATAGAACTCATATTGGACCATGGGTTCTCTTTTCTTGAAATATGGAAAGGTGTCATGTCCCTTAGGCTGACCTTTGACCCCACCAAAGGAAGGGTGATACCGAGAACCCTAAGAATGTTGAAGCCAGCCACTGAGCACCAAGTGGCAGCTATACCACGTGGTATAAATAATCAAACCTCCCACAATTACATTTTAGCACAACTCAACCATCCAATTTCACACGATCCAATATTTATAAAATATTCTTAGATTCAATAATCATATTTGTTCAACATCAACAAGATATTTCATAAAATAATTCATGCCCACTTAACCAATAAATTTATCAAAACATAAATTTTCATATATATATATATATCACTTTTTATACATAAACCACCATAACATGTAATGATAACATTTATCATATCAATACATGCTTATAATCTCATCAACAAGCATACAAGGTAAATTAGAAAGTGGTTATCTCAAGTTCTTGACACAAAAACTAAAATGGGAGGATTCAAGACCCAAGAGCCCAAACCAATCTTACTCTACAATAATAAATTTATAAGCATATATTAATAAAAAAAAACTAATTAACATAGCATTAAAATAGTTTATTACTTAAATCCCCATAATTGGCTCACTTAAAGAAAATATCTCTGGGAAAAATAATAATTTCATCTATTTCTCCAAATAACAATTTCTAGAACTTCCCAACTCTATTTCTCTTATTCATATTATTAATAAGAATAATTCTTTCAAATCATCCAAAAATATCTAAAAAGTTCTTACTTTAACTTTTAGAAAAATAACCATATATCAACTATGCCTCAAATCATTATTACAATCATATTCCCTTCTTCCCTTAGTCATTTTCCATTCATTAGAATCAATAAATTATAATATTTTTTTTAATTTATTCAAAACACTCAACTTCTACTAGTTAAAGTCTCTCCAAAAAAAAAAAATCATCAACATTCTTATTTAAACAACAATCCTCAAAATTCAAACATTGAATCCTCAATATAACCTTCAATGAACTAACTAAAGAGATCAATTTTGAAATTAATATCATCATTAACACGAATCATAATTTTCCAACCAAACCCTAACTTGCATATCCTCAAATCAACCGTCCAATTTTATTTTTTAATAAAAGCCACGGCCCAAACAGGGGGGAATTAACCCCCCTCCTTCCAAGAGGCAGTGGGTGGCCCACGTGCCACCCACTTGCCTTTTGATTTTATTTATTTTATATATATATTTTTATATATAATATTTTTTAAATTCTTTTCATAATTTATATATATATTACAAAGATTTGCAATTTATACAATAAGATTTAATTTTGAATATTATTAATTAATCTCATACCTATATAACTTAAATCCTAAAATAAGATAAAAAAAAAAATGGAGTGTTACAATTATTGTCTCCAATTCTTAACATTAACATAACACGAATTGATTAATTTGAAGAAATTAAAAAAATTATTAAATTATCTTAAAGTATTTGTCTTTATCATTTTTGTTCAAACTAATTTGACTCACTTATAACTTGATAGATAATCCAATAATACATATAAATAGTTTAGAGAGTTCATGTAACATGTTAGAATTAGTTAAATAATTTAGTAATTTAGTAACTTTCTTAATTTGATTAAATTAATTAATTGGGTTTTATATTAAAGACCGGAGATAATATAACAATATTTTATTTTAAAAAATTGTGACTAGTTTAATTTGGAGAGAAGGCAAGCTTTAACTTATTTTAAATGATTATACCAGTGAAATTTTGTTTTATAAAGAGTAAAATTAATTTTTTCCCATGGCTTTCAAACCTCTACTTGCATTAGCTTTTTAAAGATGATTTTACCATGTACGAAATAAATATGTTAAAAAAATTATATCTTGGCTTGTCCGTTTTTCAAAATTCAATCCAAATACCTTCGATCATGTGTTTTCCATCCTTTCCACACGAACAGATGACGCTCCTCCACCAGCATCAGTTATGCACCGTTATCTCCGACTAAATGTCTAACCTGTTTTGGTTCAAAACTTCATTCAAACCCCATGTCAGGCTTGATTGGAATAAATTATAAGTAACTTTTTAATTGTGATTTAAACATACAATAAAACTAATAAAAGTTAGTCTAGTTGATAAGAAATCGGTTCATAACTAACAAAGCTGTGAGTTCAAATCCCCCTGAGTTGAGACATATTTTGGCCTTAGTGAACCTCTGACATTCAACTCATCTAAACTTTTTTAATATTGCAAAAAATATATTTAATGAGAGCTTTGTCCCGACTTATATGATTACGTTTATAAGTGTTTATTGATAGCAACTCCATACAACCCTCTCCACAAGGTCCCCTTCTGGTGAATCTCTTCCTCCGCCCTCACCTCTATCTTTACTGGTTCAAACATAGACGCCCACCACTTCTCCGCCCATTTGGTTTGAACTTGAGCCTCGACCATATCTGAAACCCCCTAGTTCTTCTTTGTCCACCCTTGTCTGTCTCTCTTCGATCGCGAGTTCATTCAAAGGGGAAAATTTTCCGAAGGAAGAAGATTGAATGGAAAGGGAAGGGAAATTCTTTCTTGAGAGGGACTCTGCAGTCTTTTTATTTTGGTGAACATTAAATTAAAATAAATACAAAATATTAATTTAGTTTTAACATTTACAATACCATGCCAAACAAAAATCCTCACATCATTTTCGTTTCTTATCATTTGAGTTGAAATCGTTAAACTAAACAAATCTACATAATGCAAACATTCCCTAGATGGCCATCTTTGATCATGTTTTCATAGACTAGCCCACCCTTAGGATGCAAAGACTTTAATGCATGTACATCTTCCTTGCATAGATATTTCCATGACATTATGCTAAAAAATTATTATATAAATTTATAAAAAAATTTAGTTCTTTGATAAATGATTATAAAATCTGGTCCAAAAAAAGATAAATGATTATAAAATAGTTATATATTAAATGGTCAACATTAATGCATAAATTTGATTTCTACGAAATTTCAATTATATTTTGAAAACTTATTGATCTTTTTAATTTCATATTAGTGGTTATGAAAATATAAGGCAACGGTAATCATATTTTTATGAAACAATCATTTTATTTTTATAGATTTCATTAGTATAATTTACTTTTGCTATCAAAATCATGTGTGAGGATTTCATCAAACATTGCTCGAGAAAAGAGAGTCAAATAAGTTCAATATGCATTCTCAGGTTATCTTCCCAAATGGCTCAACTCCTCAACTAGAGCCGATAATACACGGGCTCAACCCGCCAACCCGCCAACAAGTAGCGGGTTGGGTTAATAAAAATTAGGACCGTTTTAAAATGAAAGTTTTGAGCCCATAACCACCAAGCCTAAACTCGCGACGGGCCAACTCGTTTAACTTTTTTTTTTTTGGCAAATTTTTCCGTTTGCCTCTCAGTATCTACACTCTCAGCCCAGTCCACAGTCCAACAGTGAGCAGTCCATGTCCAACAGTCCAACACAGCAACACCAACATGGTCCCATTTTCACATTTTGCTTGCGTATCACACTCCTCCCAGACTCCCAACTCTCCCAGACCTAGTCTCCTAATCGCCCTCGGCCAGTCCTAACTCCCAAGCCCCAAGCTCTCTGCTCTCTATATCTGCTTTGCGCCTTTGCCCTAGCTCATGAGTGATGATTGAGCACTTGATAGTTAATACTTGATAGTGGTTTGTGTAGTAATATTGTGTTTGTGACTTTGTGGTAGTATTAATTTGGATTTATGTTTTAATTTGATATGTTTGTTAAATTATTAAAGACATGTCATGTTCATTTAATCATATGTTTAATATTTTGATATATTTGAAACTTGAAACTTGAAACTTGAAACTTTGGACGAATTTCATGTTTTATTTATGATAATTTTTATTTGCATGTTTTATTTTAAGTATTTAGAAATTTGGAACTTTGAGTAGATTTTATTTTTAAAAAAAAGTAACAAAAAATTACAAAATTTGGCAGGTTGACATGTTAGTCCCGACAGGTTGAGTTGAAAAAATTCCAACCCGTCAAAAAACAGTCCTAAAAAGCCCAGCCCGCCAAGCTTCAAGCCCGCCACGGGCCAATCCATAATCGGTGGGTTGGCCCATATTATTGGCTCTATCCTCAACCCCAAATACGAGAATATTCATTAAACTCGAATTATATCAATTTTCATTCACATTTAAAGAGTCATTCGTCTTCTAAATAAAACTAATGCCTCTTGGTTCCCGTGTTTCAGGATTTTAACTGGTTCTAACTTTTAAGGTCTCTATCTATCCATGTGGGTGTGGAAACTTCGTATCTAAAAGAATAAGAGGCATACAATTATAACCACGAGTAAAGAGCTGATTATTGACAAGGAAAACCCAACAAGAAACAGGACTGTCAAAATTGAGGGCCACGTAAGTTTTAAATACTGTCGTACACCCCATGATTCAAGATTTGCCCAATGAAAAATGAGTGAATATAAATGAAAAAGAGGGGGGGGGGGAATAGTACCACATCCCACAAATAAGATGTTTTCAGGAAGATAATCAACCTGCATAAAGCGTCTACGTGAGGCTGAAGTTATCTTGAAGTGAGAATTTGAAGTCCTTCTACTCATTGAGGTCCAGGCCTTTGCTTGGTATTGGAAGTCAGTGCCTTGATGCAGAGTCGAGGTTTTGTACTAACGACGTTAATGGGAAGAACAGAGACAGCTACAATTATGGATCCAGTAGGTAATCCCGAGAGAGGAAGCCATTCAACAAGAATGGAGAGCTGCAAGAACAGTGGTTATGTTTAAATAACCTGGATGATTAAGAGGATTTAAATTCAATAAGAGACAAGTAGAGTAAAAAGCGACTGAAGCTCATCCCGTCCGTTCCTGTAGCAACACATGACAAACAATTAACTAGGTTAAAAACGGCACAATCTTGTGAGTTATATGAACGGATGGCTAGAATGAAATCTTGCTGCCTTTTAATAAATCCGCCATTTACTAAATCCAAATCCACGATTGAGACTGCTGTGTGCTGATAACTATAAAACATTTGAGCCACTAATTTGCGTTTTACCTCTGGACACTTGAGGTCCACTATTGAATCTTCTACAACATGCCTGACAGCAGAAGCAACCACGCCAAAACATGTATTACGGTCCAACAAACTATAATCACTGGAACTATCTGCATTTTCTTTCGGTAACTTTGTCTCCTCAATTCCTCTTCGGTTGTAACCCACTGCAAACTGCAAGGTGAAATAAGATTTTTTCCACATGCAAAATTGACACGCAACAAATACGTGACATTTTTTACTTTTAGAATAAGGATTAACCCCTAGATAGACGTTAAACAAATCCCAGTTCATATTTCATCAGGCACCATATAGGTCAAAATATTGAAACCTGATAAAAAAGTCACCGACAGATGAACATGCAGTCAACATCTCAGAAGTACCATTTTCAAAATTGACATTTAACTTAACGCTGGGCTAAGCCGAGAGATAGAGTGATAATTGAGAAAACTCATCATAATTATCAATTGTTTTTCATTCATATTAAAACCAGGATCAAGTAGACAGAAGATGATGAAATTTGTCAAATTAACATTCAAAAGAACATAGCAACAACACAGAAAAGAGAGGTTAATTATGATTCAGGAAAATTGTACCTTCAGAGGGTGTCCAAGATGGTTCTGTTTATTGGCCACAAACTTTTTAACAAGTGTTGATACAACTTCCTGCAGTTCCTTTTCATTCAAACGACAGGTAGCTTGGATAGGGAATATACGGTGGCACCAACTGCAGCAAAAGAGAAGGTCCTCTATCAAAAACCGAAAAAAGAAATGCATTAACATCACCAACTGAAGGGCTTTCATTTCCAAACATTTTCACTAACACATTACAATCACTGTTTCTGAACAAAGCGTAAAGACTGCTTTATGCTAGCATGTACGTAGTTATATTCACTCAGACATCAACATCAGAAACCAGAAAAAAAAAGCAAAATGACAATGTAATGCGGGTTTGTATTAATCACCCTAGAAAAATCGGTGTACCACTCCCAGAAAAGGGATTAGTGACTAATCTCAGCCCCAAGGTGGGTGTGTGTTTTTTTTTTTTTTTTTTTGGGGGGGGGGGTTTAAGAGGCCAGTCCTCTCCACATTCCTGTCTGTCTCGCAAAGCAGCTCCCCCCTTTTTTTCCCCGGCCAAAAAAAAAGTTCCACTAGAGATGAATTCCCCACAAAAAGAGTCCTGTTGCTCACCATTACAATGCTTTCACTTGCCTTAGGCAATAGATGAATGTTTATGACATCCCAAAACGGGATAGCCTTGGAGATGCTAAGAAGTGAAGGGAAAGGAGCTTCAATAAGTCATTGAATGAGGTGAGAGTAGAAATTCTTGGATCAAGTTTCTCAACAAGAAACTCATCTCATGCTAGACCCCTGCTATCTGCTGCCATTACTAAAAGATTTGCACTACTGAGTAAAGATGCAAATCAGAACAAGGACAACCACCAAAAAAAAGAAAGGGAGATCTTGGTTGTGATCATTGTCATCGTTCTGAACACACCAAAGAGAAATGTTGGAAGCTACATGGCAAACCCAGTAACTGACAGCCAACAAGAGAGCTGGACAACAAGAAATGTTGACTCATGGTTGGATTTGATCTAAATGGGGAAAAATGTACAAGCTAAGAAGCCAAACACGGGATAACCATCCCAGGAGTTGCGCAATACCAGTTCAGAGGAACCCTCCCAAAATCACATGTAAACATTTGGCCTGTCTTCATTTTCACACCTGATAAATTAAGCTGGAACCAAAAATGCCTTCAACAACACTCAGACAATGAGACATAAGACGACAAACCATTTTTCATCTACAAATTAATTGTGGACATTTAGGACAAGTTACACTAAGAAGTTGCAACCTATACTATCATTCACTTGCTAGAACAACTATGATCCAAAAAAATGTTGATCAAGTGGTAAGGATCAGTCCCATATCCACAAGGGTGTGGGTTCAAGTTCTATTACCTATGTGAACAGATCCTTTATAAATGTGTCTATAAGCATTCTCAGTCATCAAACATGTCCTATCCCTAGTGAGCCACTAGAACCAAACTCACCAAAACTGTTCTCTTGCCAAAATAAAGAATCTAACAAACAAAATTTAAATGAGTCACTTTACTTACATTGGTGAACTCTTTCCAGCCTCAAAAGATTCAATGATATTTGACACAATATCAACAGTGTCAACCAACTCATTCCTTGGAAAGGTAAAAAGAAGCAACCCACTCCTTGTTAGCTTAACTAACGAAAGATCAAAAGCTCCACTAGAGCTTGTCTCTGCTTTTGTAGGACTTATGTGAGTTCCTTCTGATAGTTTACCTGTCATCACTTAGCCCAAGACTGTTCAATAAACGTAAAACTCAGACATGGCCCTTAACTCCAATAAGGAAATAACAAGGGGGAAAATAAGTACCTTCACCAGAGTTAACAATGGCAGAATTAGTTTCTTCCAAGTCTAAACATTCTCTGCCAATTTCTTCAGTGCATGTCCGCCTTCTCTTCGTACTATTTTTCTCATGGCTGTCCAAACCATCACAATCTCCATTTCTAAAGGGATCAACATACTGTAACAAAATTTCATCCCCAGATGTATAAGAAGAAGAATAAACAAGAAAAAGAACAATTTACTTGTCAATCATCTTCTGTTGTGTAAATCATGAACATAGCCACAGTGGTATGAGAAGAGAAGAACTGACAGTGTGATAGTTGATAGCATTGTATAATCTGTTTACAATCACATCGGCCACAAACAAAGAAGAAAAGAAAAAAGAGAATTGTTTATTTCATTTAGAACTCTACCTATGTTTCATAACCGGTCCCCACCCCAGATTAAGGAGTGTTAGATACTCAACAGAAAATGTAAAACTATATCAAATCACCCATGACATGGATTATCAAAGACATATTTTTTGTTGTTGCTTATTTCATTTAGAATGTCGGAAAAGTGCTTATCTAAAAAATAATTTAAATATCAGTAAAATTTGCCAACATTAAAGAGGTTATTCCATTAAAAGTTGGTTTCAAGAATAAGCATAACAAATTACAAATTAATTTTTTATTGAACAATTACTCATTCTATAAGGGATTAACGGTATCTTGAAGAGTGCTTGGTTTGTTATAACAAATGATTATTCAAAGGCAAACTTAGAAAATAAATCAATAATAAGCTCCACATCGAGCAATTGCTTTTTGTATTTTTCAGCATTAACACCTAATAACTGTTCATCCACCTCAATATTCTGGTTTAATCGCTAGTCATATTTAGGCATTTTGCCCTGTCAATGCTACAAACAACCATATGAAATACAGGAAAAAGAATCTTATCCCTTAAATGCTTGGTTGAGCTGTAAATCAGAAGATGAGCGTTATAAGGAGAGGAACATGATAACTAGGAAACTTTCAGCTCAAAAGAAGATAACTAGGAAACTGTATGAACGAATTATTCTTAATACTGAACATGCTGATAATTATCATTTAGTAGGATGTGAAAGATATCTTTCGTTCAAAAGGAATTATTCTCTAAATGGACACATCTGATGGGCCTAGTATGACCCAGCAGCCCCAAACATGTCAGAGGAAAAAAAAGGGCAAAACAAAAGAGTACGTCAGCTTGTATAAAAAAAAAAGAGTACGTCAGCAGAGAGAGAGAGAGGAAAGGGCAAGGAAATTGTGGCAATGATACCAGAATTTATGGAAGGTGAGTATAATAGTCCTTTTGATTATTTTCCTTTAAGCCGTAACTGCTATCTGCAATTCCCTGAGCTTATTCCTCTAAACTTACACTGGACAGAGGTTAATCCCAGCCTTTGAAATATTAATAATCCAAAATGCATCTGGGTTCCATCAACATCTATCTTATCTGTTTCGTATTCTAAAATATACAAGTCTTGTGAATAAAGTAGAGCAGCAAGGCCAAGGAAGATTTTTTCGTCGTACAGGTTGAATCTAGGCATACACCATTTTTTAGCATTAAGAAAAACTATTCTTACACAGTAAATGTCATATAACAAGGTAAATTTGGAAACATGTTAAAAGGGTAATGAAGGATACCTTTTCAAGGATAGACAATACTTCCTTTGTAGCACTTTTCTCCCGTTCTGTAGAGAAAACAGTAATGATTATTCAAACAACATAAGCATAAATAAATCCTAAATCTAAATGATACTCCTAGAGGAATTAAGCAAGAGTTACTTATTATGCCATAGATTTCATCCCAATCATAATTACTTACATCTATTATTTACATTATCTGTTAAAAAACAGCAGGCAAAGCTGCAAATCACCAACCATACCACGCACAATAAGAAAAAATAAATTTACCGAAGCAGGTTAAAGCTTCCCCACCGAAGACTAGATAAATGAGCAACAAGACACAAACATTTTGTACATTGCGAGCTTATTGAGATTAAATAATAATTATTAAAGTCATAGGGTACTTCATTGTTCATGTATATGATGACAATAACTAAGTATTATGTAGTCTCAGTCATACGTGTAGGATAAAGATTTTTAGCAGTAAAGGCAGATTTGTAAGAGCAAAATCAATATGCCAAAAGTAACCCTGAATTGGGAAACAAGAAATTAAAAATGTGTATGTACGATAGCTGTATGATGTTGAAAATTTGGCCGAGTAGGAGAAAGGGACAAAAGGTGAAGTAACTGATAGTACAAGTGATGAGAAAGCCACAATGGGAGTGTTGGAGAATTAAGGAGGGAGCAGTGTAGTCAAAGCGAGGAAGGCTTATCACAGCTGAGTGTTGCTCCCAAGGGGCCATGCTCTTTTCTGCCTCAATCTTCTGTTTTTGTTCCTCTTCATATTCCTTAGTAACAGCTCCACCCTCTTCTGCCATCTCAAACTATAGGAAGGCAAGAGGTTCACAAGTACTCTGTGCACTGCAGCAGGGGAGACCAAGGTATGAAAAAGTATCAGTCATGAAACCGATTAAGGCACTGGTTCAAAGTTCAGAAATTGAACCCATTAAATCAGGAAGCAGCCATATTTATTTGTAATCCATCGAATTTAAAATATAAGAAATACAAGAAACAGAGCACCAGCAGTTCAAACCACTAACACAAGAATAGAGGGTTCATAATGAATTTCAATTGGAGCACCGACTCTCTTTTTGACAAAAGACCGTGAATGATGCAATGCAAATAGAGTTCGTTTGAAGAAGATAAACTCATGAAAACATATTGTTTTTTAATAAATGATTGTTAAAATATATAATTATGTATTGCACAGTGGGCCTGTTTGGTTACTTGCTAGAAACTTATATGAAGAAATGTAATGCAAGGCAATGACTAGTAGATAAAAAAAGTGAGAAAGAAAAGGGAAGATATTTGTTTGGTTAAGGATGGAAGGGAATGTAATAATAGTAAGATTGAGATTTCAAAGGTCTGACTGCCCCTTTAAATAGAAGTACGCACTCCAAGCGCATATCTGGAAGCATATTTATAATCCAATCGTAACACACCAAAATGCAGATGCTTTCGAAAAACAAGCTCTATATGCAAAACAATATCTAGCCACCATATGCAGAAGCATATTTATAATCAAAACACGAGAAAAAGGAAATGAAATCACAGGCACAAGTGTATAACCCAAGCAGCAACATATAGCTACCGAAATAAAGTAACTCAGCCAAAGTTTAAACTACATATGTAAATGCACGAGCGGAACGACGAAGGAAATAGAATCAGAAGCACAAGCAAAAAGAAGCAAAACCAGGATCAATGGAAGCAATTAGGAAGAACAAGTGGAAATACTTCGAGCAGTGAGAACATGCAGAAGAATTTTGAAAGAACAGGAACAAGGAGACAGTATCAGAAGCAGAAACGATTTCGCCGGGGATGGGATGTGCTTACCAGGGCAGCACCTCGCAAGACTTCGCTAGCTCGCTTCTTCAGCTGGTGGTGGTTTCAGCTTTCAGGTGTTAGGGCTGGAATTAGCCGTAAGAATTGGTTATTCCAGGAATGTATTTTCAGGGGCCAAAAGGATTTGTAGGGGATACCAATAATTAACGTACAAATTAGTTTGATTTTTAATTTGATCATCTTAATTCATTTTATTTAGTTGCATATGGTAAAGATTCATCAAATGGTGGTTTTAATTTATATACATAATAGCAAGAGTATTCTAAACAACACCTCTTTATTACAAACAACTAAATTAATAAATTTACTTAATATAATTAAATTAGTTAATTACTTCTTATACTAGGACTAGAGATTTTTTTTTTTTGGATCAGAAGGAGGGAGTATTTTATTGAACTTATTTTAAGTAATTTTATACAAATTAAATTAAATATATAGAAGAAGTTTTGTTTCATAACATATAGAAGTGATTCTTTCATGAATAATCCAAACACAAAATTAATATGTTAAAACTTTTCATCATGTTTTTGGAGATGAAGACAATATTGTTAAATGGGGATTGAAAGTTTGCTTCTAATTTATGTGAACGCATATTTAAGGAGGCTTATTTTTAATTAGACTTAATAACATCTGAATTTAAAGTAAAAATATACATTTAATTCTCTGATTTAATGCCAAGTTTTAATTTTATTTCTTATTTTATAAATTATGTTGTCAATTTTATAATCCTAACCCCATAAGTTTTAAATAATGATCTATTGTGCTAATAATTATCATTTTTTTTGGTTTACAGCTAATAATTATCATTTTAAAAATTTTAATTTGATGTATTAATATTTGAAAATGTTTCGTTGACATGTAAAATTTTAATGTTTACTTTTTTTTGTTAAACGATTAAAAAGACGGAATCAAAATAAGATTTTTCTTAAATAAAATTAAGGGAATAAATATGCGCTGACTTAAATTTAATTAACAACATTGACATATACAGATATAAAAAAAAACGACAAACCAAATATATTTTACTGTTTGGCACACAAAAAAATTCAAATAGGTTCACCGTAATAATGTAAGATTGTTTTAATTAATTACATTATATTAAGGGAACCAAACAACCCATAGCCAAATTATAATGTATAAGAATTTTATTTAAATGAATTTTCAAGCATATTACGAACTCTAGTTTTTAATATAAGAGCTAAATAACTAATTTAGTGATATTAAAAAATTATTTAAATTAATTATTTGTCAGCATTAGTTTTTTTAAATTATCATCTTCAATTATATGTATTAGATTATTGAAATTATCTATCGTTGAGAGCTCTTATAATCAATAATAAAAATGTTTTGGAGAAAAATAAAAAAAAAACAAAATAAATTAAGTTTTTATATCTAGGATTATAAACTTCCAAATGGACGCTGCCATAGGAATAACGACGCAGCGAAACCCATGCATCATGTAGCCCGGCAGCATATGTGTGAGGGGAAGGCGAATGGGGTTTGGAACAATGAGAAATACTTTTAAAAAGTATTTTTGTTCTAAATCAAAACAAATTTTTTTATATATTTATTTTGTATATTATTAAATTATTTTTAAAATTATAGTTTGATTTCCAGTGAAACACTTCGTAGGAGAAGCACACAATGCTTCAGTGATGAAGCTGTGTTGGGGATTAGTGAAATGTCGGGACGCCTTGAGAGGAAAGAGGACACATCGCACGCTCTAAGGGATAGTGTTGCGGAGGCCGAGTGCTGGAGATTAGTTGTCCCTTTACAGTTGCAAGCTAGTTTTTTTGGAGCTCGTGGATGTGAGACGCTGGTTGGAATGGAACCTAAATCAGAACCTTCTCCACCAGGAGGTGCCGTGGAGGATGTGGTTCGCTACTATTTGTAGGACTGCGCGGCTCAATAGAAATGCTGGGGTCTTTCCAGCAAAAGCTAGTGAGAGATTGAAAGAGCTGCGTCAGTTTTCTTTGTAAAGCCAAGGGGTACTGGTGTAGGTCTTGCTTTGCGGTGGTTAATGTCTGGTCGAGTTCTCCCAACATCATTCGTGTCTCTATACAATCAAATCTGTTGAGTCTAAAGGATCATATCATCATTTGCTGATTGTTGACTGTGAATTTCAGCATACTAAAGTCCCATGAATGTTCAAATTTGACTCAGTTTGGTCTTGATATTGCGATTGCTAATTTTGTAATGTTTGATACGAAAACTTCAGTATTCTAGAAACTATACAAAACCAAATTTCATGGGATTACTCAGCATCACCACCCCTCGTATTGAACACTTAGTTTTGAGATTGAACATTTTGGTAGGGCTGCACAACAAAGTCTGAAACCCGGTCAACCCGGTCCGACCCGAGGAAGCCCGGTCCGACCCGGTCCAAAAAAAAACAGCCCGATCAAGAGACAGGACTAATCGGGTCAGACCAACAAACCGGGTAAGACCGGGTTGAGGACTCATATTTCAGACCATGTGGTCTAGCCCGGTCCAGGTAACCTCTTTTTTTTTTTTTTTAAACATCTATCTGTCATGGACTCATGGGATATATTAAATATGAGCTGAGCCCAACCCAACGAGCATTGACCAGCTGACTTGCGTTGCGATTCTGCTCTGCGTTTTGCTCCCATGCTTTTCCGGTTTTCCCTTAATCCCTTTCACTTTCAGTTCACGGCTTTCACTCTCGGTATATGCCCTAAGTCGGCCTAACATTCTCTGCTTTTCCCTTTCACGACCTGAGAAAGCCGCTCTCTTCAACCAGTAACTATTGGATTGGGGGTCAAGGAGAGGAGCGAACCAAGCTTGAAATGGGAATTGAGAGGCACGAGACGGAGACAGTTAGGTCGCCAAAGCAGTGGCGATGAAGGCTGACAAGCACAATTGACTGAAACTGGAGTCTCACGAGGGATTTGGGAACTTATCCAGCCGGCCCTATCTTCAAGTCAGTCGATTCGAAAGTAGGTTCAGCTTCACTTCGCGATCATCTCCTCATTTCCTCAGTAGTCGTCTACTTTTCAGTTTTCCCTGAATCCGCGTTCGTGATTATCTCCTCACTTCCTAAGTTCGCTGCGCTCCTGCTTCAACTTCAGCTCCTCGGCTAGCTTCTTCTCCAAAGATTGATTAGCTTGTTGTCCTTGGAAGGCTCATTCAAGACTTTGAGTAGCTTCTTCTTCTTGACTCTTTGCTTTTTTTTCTTGCTTTTAATTTTCTACGGTTTATTCTGTGCACAGCAATTGTTTCATTTTGCTTCGTTTTTATCAGAAATTGGTCATTCTTCAGTGTTTGATCGCTGATGCTGTTTCGGTGTTTCTGTCTTCATGGGTTTTGATTAGCGTATTAAACTGTTGATCTTTTTATGGCTTGATCTGAATCTGTATTGTTCGTCTCAGTAGCTCATGCCTAGCACATTGTGATTCTTTCACTAATATCTCTCTATGATCAGTGATTATCCCATCTTCATTGTTCTGATCAGGATTTTCTTTCGCTGTTATTGTCTTTTGCAGTGTCTGCCTGTCTGGTGTTGCTGATTTTATTTAGATTTATGTGCAAATATATATGTGTGTGTGTGTGTGTCATGCATTCCCTTGTCGGTGTCAATTTAGTGAATGGCTGAATGCTTCGTGATAACTTGTGAGGAGGGTCCTTTATTATTCGTTATGGCTATGTCAACGAGAACTATAGTATATATTATGATTTGATTAATTAATGTATGATTTTTATTTTCATGTTAGAAATGGTTGATGAAACTTCAGCAGCTACTAGTCAACCCTCATCTGCACAAACACAATTAGTGGGCACTAGTGAAACTGAAATAGGCCCTCCTGCTGAATCAATTTCTCCCACTCCTCCTCCCTCTTCAGTAGCTGAACCTGTTTCTAACCTTGGACAAGATACTGCTGGAGAGAATGTGAGTAGAAAGAGAAAAGAGCCTGAGAAGAAATGCACAAAATCACAAGTTTGGGAGCATTTTGTGAAATTACCTTTGGAAGAAACAAATGGAGAAGTTAAGGCTGCTTGTAGATATTGTCATGCAATTTATGCTTGTGACCCAAATAAGCATGGCACAACATCCTTGAAAAGGCACTTTCCAAAATGTCTCAAGAACCCAAATAGGGCTGACACAATACCAAAGCAATCAATGTTGAACTATGTGACTCCAAGTGGGCAAGCAAGGAGTTTAGTCCCTCATGTTTTCAATCAAAAACGATGTAGAAGGGCGCTGGCTGAATTTGTTATTTGTGATGAGATGCCATTTCGGATTGTTGAGAAGCATGGGTTTAGAAACTTTGTGAAAGAGCTAGAACCAAGATTTCGAATTCCTTCAAGAACAACAGTTGCTAGAGATTGTTGGCAACTATACCTTGGAGAAATTAAGATATTGAAGGAAATATTGAAGAAGTCTACACACCGTGTTTGCTTAACGACTGATTGCTGGACATCTGCTCAAAACTTCAATTATTTGTGCTTGACTTGCCATTTCATTGATCCTGATTGGAAGTTGCATAAGAGAATATTGAATTTTTGCATGATTGAAAATCATAGGGGTGATACAGTTGGCAAGACAATTGAGAAATGCCTCTTGGAATGGGGAATAGAAAAGGTATTTACCATAACCATGGACAATGCATCAAGTAATGACTCCGCCTTGTCATATCTGAAAAAGCGGCTTAAGAATTGGAAGGGAATGATTTGTGGGGGTGATTACCTTCATCTTAGATGTTCTGCACATATACTTAATTTGGTGGTTAATGATGGCTTGAAGGAGTTGAAGAATAGCTTTGATTCAATTCGCAATGCAATTAAGTATGTTCGTTCTTCCCCAGCTCGTCTCCAAAAGTTCAAAAATATTGCTGAATTAGAGAAATTGGACACCACTAGCCTTGTTTGTCTTGATGTTAGTACTCGGTGGAATTCAACATATTTGATGTTGGAATCTGCTTTGAAATTTCAAAAGGCTTTTGAACGGTTGGAAGATGAAGATGATGACTATGAGGCATATTTCACTAAAGGGGACATCTCTAGGCGTGAAGGCCCTCCTGAAGCTAATGATTGGAATAAGGCAAGAGTATTTCTCAAATTCTTGAAGGTGTTCTATGATATAACTTTAATGTTTTCAAGTTCACTAAATGTCACTTCTAACACTTGTTTCCACCAAATTGCCCTAATTCATGAGTTGTTGGAAGAGAACATTGTGAATGCTGATCCTTTGCTTTTGGAGATGTCCTTTAGCATGAGAAGTAAGTATGAAAAATATTGGGGTCAAACAGAAAACATGAATCCTTTGCTCATTGTAGCTGTGATTTTAGATCCTCGGTATAAACTTGCTTATGTGTATCATATCTTTGAACAACTTTTTCATGATGGGGAAGTTTGCATGGCCATGAAAATTAAGACCAGAGATGTCTTGCACCGCATGTTTGATGAATATTCTGTTGGACAAACAAGCAATGGTTCTTCAAGCAATGCTGGTTCTTCAAGCAATGCTACTTCTTCTGTACTCCCAGGATCATCAACATCAGCAATGCTACAAAGCCAAGTGGGTAGAGATCCAGGTCGCAGATGGTTAGCTTCTCAAAAAGAAAAAAGCTCTTCTGACCCACAATCAGAATTGGATAGATATCTTTCATCTACTTCAGCTGATGATAGCCTTATTGATGATGATTTTGATATCTTAGCATGGTGGAGAGCTAATTCTGGCAAATATAAGATTCTTTCTAGAATGGCACGTGATGTCTTGGCCATTCCAGTGTCTACAGTGGCCTCTGAATCAGCCTTTAGCACTGGGGGACGTATAGTGGACTCTTATAGGAGTTCCCTATCCCCATCAATGACTGAAGCATTGATTTGTTCCCAGAATTGGCTACTCCCTGGGCAATCTCTCTCTGAATTTGCATCCATGCTTCAAGAGTTTGATAACTTTCAAGAGACAGACGGTGTGGTGAAGACCGGTATGTGTTGTAGTGCTATCGATTACTTATATTTTATATAACTATTTAAATAGATTTTATTTGTTTGTAATCATTTCATAATATGTGTTGTTGTATTGTAATGTCATTGACTATTAATGTTTTACATACTTTTCAGATCATTCCACTATTACTGATGTTGGGGAGGATGTTTGACTTTCAGCATTTCAGTTTCAGTTTCAGTTTCAGATATTTTGGACATATATGACTATAAAGTCTTTTGTTTGTTTGATGGTGCCATGGTGGTAGCTTGTTTTTTTGGCTATATGGCTGGATGTTTTTTGGTCAGTTCAATTGTGCAGGTTGATGATCTTTTTGATGGTTGATCTTTTGGATGGTTGATGTTTTGGATGGATGATCTCTTGGATGGTTGATTAAAATCACCATATAGTTGGTTCATCATAGTCAGTACTAACTGGTGGATGACTTACTGAATTAATTAGGGCTGCTGTATAGCTAACTCACTTGATCTTTTGTATATGCATTGAAGTTGAACCGTGGAACATTTTGAGTTTTTGACTATTATTGGCCAGCCAAGAGCAGACTTCGATATGTAGACTTTGATATGTAGCTTCAATGACTGATGATAATTTAAACTTTAAAGGAAAGTTTAGTATTAAAATGTGGTTATTTTATTTTGTTTGTTTGTTCTTTTATTTTTTTTCTTTGAATGTTGTCAATATTAAAAATGATCTTATTTAGTTTGTGATGTATAGATCATGTAAGAATATCATCTTCTTGGGAAGAGTTGTGTTTATTTATTTTCTGATAAGTAAAAAAAATAGAAAGCTCTATCTATTCAATGGAAAAGTTCAATGTACGTTAGAATATTTGGATTCAAAGCTGTACAATATGCTGTAAAGATATCTTTTATATATGGGGGAAAAAAAAAAAGGGACACCAACCTGGACCAGTCCAGTAACCCGGCCGGACCAGTCCAACCCGGTCCTGGTCCCGGGCCTAACCGGACTGGACCAGACCGGAGACTAAAATGTCCAGCCCGTAGAATTTTCAGACCAGACTTCAGACTGATGGTCAACCCGGTCCAGTCCAGTCTTTGTGCACCCCTACATTTTGGAACCAAACTGTCGATATAATATTTCACAAATTCCTATATTGCCCGCAAGCAGATTTGTGTTCCTTCTTCTATGGAGGGTCTAACTTTGGCATGTAGTAAATGATGGGAAAATAACAAAAAAAATTATCTATTGAATTTCTAAATAATAAATAAGTGATACTGATTATTCTTGTAACAACTCTAATTATTCCTATAATGGTTTTGACATGTCAACATTGCCTATTTGTTTTTTTTTTTTTTTTCAATTTTCCTCTAAATTATTTTCATCCTACCTCACAAGTTTATAAACAAACACGGTGTTCTTAGTAAAGAGTACATTTACATGCTTATTGCTAATTAAAACATCAACTTCTATGTATGCATTGTATATAGATTGGATCATTATATGTACCTGTTTCTTTTTAATAAAAGGAACAGATTTTTCGCATCTAACTGCAGTGGTAAGAGCTACGATGACCTAGTCTAGCATATCGCCCAAAGGCTCTCTTGAAAAAATTTTAAAAACAAAAAAAAAAAAACTAAGAAGGCGGAGGGGAAAAAATGTAATTGTGTAATTTCAGAAAATATGCAGAAGTGGACTTCGCATCAGATTCCAGTATCAGTAAACAAGCGGCATCATTACAAATCGCTTATCATATATAAAGCACCCACTATAGGGGCGATCACAGGATTTTGGTTTCCTCGTATTTCTTCGTATCCATATGTGGGCTTCGCCGGTATTCACAAGACGCACAATAGTTAGAGCTGCTGACAAGGAAAACCAAACAAGAAACCGGGCTGTCCAAAGTGAGAGCCATGTAACAACATTAATAGAAAAAGCTAGATTCAAGGATTCCATAAGTGCCTACAGATATATAATGGAAATAAAACCCCAGTTACACTGATAAGGAACTTCCAAGCTTAAGTACTGCTTCTGGCAGCAACAGCTTGGTGGCGTCTAAAATAGACAACAAACAGACCAGTAACAAAATACAAAATTAATGGTCTATCTTAGCTTGGCTCTCTTTGGAGCACTACTACTTATACTGGCTCGTGACTTGCCAAAAGCTTTCATCTTCCTTCTTTTCCTCTCTACTTCGCTGTCAGAGTCATCCCCTTTCTCCCTATCGGCATTGCTTGCTTCTCTCTCCAACTCTTCCCATGTCTTTCCCTTCTCTTCTTCTGAGTCCTCGTCGGAATCCTCCTCTTCCTCATCCTCGGACTCCACTAGTGATTCACTATCAGAAGCATCATCTTCAGAATCAGACTCAGGTTCAAGATCTGATGGTTCATAACCTTTGTCTGACTCCTCTGAATTCTCAGATTCTGAATCAGTAGCCTCCAAATTCAAAAACTCCCAACCCCCACCTTCTATAAAGCTCTGTGGGTCATCGGTGATTGTCTTCAATATCTGTCGCCAATTCAGATTTAGCCTGCTCTCATAATACTTAATGTCAGTTGTGTCAAGCCACTCCTTGATGCCATCGAGAGCAGTGGAAGGGATGGAATCAATCCTGAGAACATCCCGCTTGAAGTCCTTGAATACTACTGTCATATCAAAGTTCTTCTGCCCAAGACCAACTCTCTCTAAATTCACAATCTCAATCTCACTAAGAGTGACGACAAGGAAAGGTGTTTCGATCAGTTCAACAAGACAGGCTGAAGTAGGAACGATAAATACGGAGGATTTATGAGGTACCCCAGTGAAGCCAAGTTCTCTCAAAGGTTGATCAAACTCAAGATCAAGGCGACGAAATTGGGGTTGCCCCCATAGATCATTGACCCGATTGACAAAGCTCTGAAATTCTACATTGATTTTGTTCTTCCTGTCTCTCTCCCTTTGCTCTTCTTCAAGCTCATCAGGGTCGTAGGCAGATCTCTTTCCGCCTCCTACATTCTGGACCATCTCCATCACCTCAACATAAAACTGGACATCCTTGGTTTTCTTGTTTCCTACCATAATATGGTTGTGCAGGTGGAAGTGCAGGAGTGTAATCATTTCATTTTCTGCTGGCTGAAAAAATGCATGTTTAATGTTGGCAAACATTACATCTACACGTTCAGCTTGCCTAGTGGTAGAGTAACGAAATCCATTCACATGAGCCTCAAGTGTACCAGGTATCTTCCTTCCCCGTCCACCAAAAGGAGGCCGGATCGAAAGATCAGGCAACCGAATAGGCTTAAATCTATTATTGGCTAGCTGTAGTTTCTCCTGAGTAACCAAGGTTGCTCTCTCAGCCCTCTCAGACTCCCTGGCCACAACTTGTCGTCTAAGTGTTTTAATGGACTGCACCAACTCACTTATGTGCCTTGGATCCTTGGAACGGAATGAAGCCTCCTTCAAATATATAGAACCTGGGAACTTCATTGAGTTTACATCATGGGAACTGAAAGGAGTCCCAGGAACATTAAAAATAATTCTGATGTAGCAGTTGCGATTGGTGTCCTGCTGGCTGGAAACAGTTCGAATGAAAGCCACATGAAAAGGCACCATACTTCCATTTATAGGCAAAAGGACTGCCTCATGCTTCTGATCAATCTGAATCATCATATCTCTGGGCGGGGGAAGGTCATTTATGTTCTTGTAGGCAACCAGATCTGCTAAAGTCTTCACAGCAGTGCGGTCGTCTCCTGTCTCACTTCCTCCTCCAGCAAGCCGCCTCGCAGTTTCTTCATTTTTCTGGCGAGCAAGTTCTGCCTGATGCTGCCTTCGAAGCTCCTCCTTTGATATCTCATGGTTGTCTGATCTAAGAGTTGTTTTAGTCATGACTGGCTCACTGACATCAACCTTAGCCTTTTTGGTAGGCCTCTCTTCTTCCTCATCCTCATTGAATGAATAAGCCACATCCTTAACAGCTTTAGAGCTCAGAGAAGTTACAACTTCTGTCTTATCTTTGGCAATTATGACTGTGTCTGCAAGAAGCATTGAAAAGTTCTTGCTCTTTGGCTTACTGCTCTCGCTTTGCAAGTTCTGAAATCCAAGTGTAACATTGAAGACCATGCCTTCTCTAACTATCTGCTCGTTTTTAGCATTAAGATTCAAACCTGACTCACGAAACTCAATGCCAATGCCTGTCCCAGCAGATTTAGTCAAATTAGAAACCAACTCAGGAGCATCCTTTTGTACAACAGACAGTGCAGCCAGGTATGCAGCACTGATCTTGTTGCCTGGCTTTAAGGACCCAATGGCTGCTTCATGGGCTTTCAGAAGAACCTCATAAGCCTTACTCTGAAGGGGCTCTGCATCAATCAAGAAGGTCCTAGCTATGTTTGAGCAGTAACTCTTGTACCGAGCTCCTACTGCACATATAATCACACTGGCAGAGTCATAATAAAGTAAATCATCATTGCTGACAGCACTAGGTCTGAGATCAAACTCTCCACCACTCTGAAAAATTGGGGGATAACAAATATCAACATTATCTGCCTTTAGTTTACAATTGACTTTTGAAGGTTCCAAAATAACTTTCTCAGTCTCCTCCATCAATGTAGAATGAGAAATTTTCTTCTCATCATCAATTACATTCTCAAGCTTTGGAACAACAAAGTTTTTCATCACACTTGTTGCCAGGTATGATGCTCTCTTAATTGATGTTAGCTCCTCATTATTCTTGACAGCAAACAGACTAGATAACCCATTACTCACATCAGTAAGTTGAAAACCGGTATTTTTCAGTTTATCAGCCCATGTTTCAAGGAGTTTTCCTTCAGGAGCTTCTCTTGATATGTATCCAATAGCAGGAACATCAGAGCCATCAACCTTTGACTGAGAACGGATAGCACGGAATATGGCATCCATTTGAGCAACCCCATCATCATCTTTTGCCTTGATATGCATCACAACATCTGCACCAACTGCCTCTTTGCTTGTTTTCCTCACAGTCTCCAGAATGGAAGCCTTCTTCTGGCTGCATAACAAGTGAATCTGCTTCTTCATGAAGACCATAATTGTATCTGGGAACTCAAAACCAAGCAGCCATAAATTCAGAGCAGTAGATTTCAAGTATCGCAGGTCATCTGAAGGTGGAGGACATGCTATTGCAATTGCATCAGAAGATCCCCAGAGTTCGGTTTTATATTCATCCCAATGTGAATAAAATGATTTTAATCGTGATTGAAATGTATTTAGATCAATGGAATAAGGGCTTCCTGCTGCCTTTCCATTGGAAGGTTGGGCACTTCCATTTCGATGATCACCCATTAGGATAGAATGGTCTGCTCAGTTTCTAGAAAACAAAAGACGCAGTGAGTGTAGAATAAACAGCTGAAAAGATAATTACAGATACACACATTTTTTCAATGAGGCAAGGCTATCATCTTCATCATATTTAGGAGATAAAACTAAATAAAACATCGAACTTCTTTTAGAGACTTCGTGTAGCAAATGAAAGATTTCTACAAATGTTGTAAACAAGGAGTGAATGATTTTAGTATATACCTTCCAGCGGACAAGTCGCTTAAAGGAACCCTAGAAAAGGGGTCCAGAGCCGAGTCTCCACAGCCTTGAACTGTTTGTCTTTTCCAAACCTAGGAACACCTGCATTAACACCAGCAACGAGATGAAAATATCAATGTATAGTCGAACATAGTTTTGAAAGATGTTCATGTACGCATTGCCAAATCGCAGAAGAATTGATTGGGTATAACTTACATCACTAGAACCAAGATTTAGCAAGTTCTTCCCCGAGTTCTCACAGGGGTTAAAAAATCGAAGAAAAATCCAATTAATAATTGACATAAAACTTCTTTCACCTCCTGGCTACTCCTAGATCAAATGGTGCATGTAACTAAAAGGGGTTCTATTCCAAGATAAAATCTAGCCTCCAGTCCCCTCTACAGCTCTCGCTTTTCTATGCGCGTATAGAGGATGATGCTTTAACACTGTTCGGAAAACATTTCCCGAAACTACGTAAACCCATTAGATGAAGGAGATAGAAATTCATGCCCTAATCAAATTCCGATTCCTGAAACACAGAGCATCAGCAAGAGTACATCAAATCCTCACCTTTTTCTGTTCAAATCAACGTCTTGAACCCGCCGTTGCCCTCCTTGCCGTCGGCTAGACTGTGTTGCCCCAATTTCACCAGCGTCTTCGTCCTACAGCTGTTCGCCCGCGACGAAGAAAGAACTCGCAGCATCTTTTATTTGGCGCTCGGACAAAATGAGTTTTATAATTCAGATTTTCTCATTAATTGCAATTGGGTCAATCCATTGTTATCCTCTTTTTTTTCCTTTTTTTTTTTTGCTATAATGTAAGAAAAAATAGCCAAAATAAAACTCAGTAGCAGCTTCATACTTTCATTTTGTTCCTCCCTAATTTTTATTTCTTCTTCTATTTTTCATAAGTATTCCTACAAGTCAAACACTTTTATACGACACTCTCTATTAGTTAATAACAAAAAAAAATTATATTCACGCATTCTTAAGATATTCTTTTCATTTCATACAAAATAATACGAAATTTTTTGTGAATTTTTAATGATATGTATAATATATAGGAATACCACGCAATTTCGGTTGATATACAACAATTTAAAACAATGTCATATTCATTTAATAAATTTATAAAATAACTTATAATTACATGACTGATGACATATAGTATATATGCATTTATGCAATATATATATATATATATATATATATATAAAAGTTAGTAGAGAGTAGTATTGGTTGGTTTCTCTTATAAATCAAAAATCAATATTTTCAATATCGATTTACCTACTTTATTTATTGGTCTTGTAAACAATCTAACATATACCATTAATCATTATATAAGCCCGATGTTCTTGGCTAAATATGATGTTTGCTTAAAAAAAATAAAAATTACTCCCTTCAATTCTAAACATTCTAAATATCAGGATTACCATTTTTCCTTTTTATTTTAATATTGTTTTAACCCAATGAAGCATAAAACATCTTTACTTATAAACATCATAGACATTTTTCTTAATATAACAAGCTTCGTCTAAATTATTAAATTTTTTACCTAATACTCCTCAATAACTATAAATTTTTCTAACCAGTTAAACTAATGAATTTCATTTAAGGTAATTTTAAAATTTTATTAAAAATAACTAATTTTAACTAGCTCTTAAATTTATACAAACTTAATATTTATAAAAAGGATACGTAAATGAAATGCTTCTGTTTTTCCATAATTATATCAATTATCATTTCTATCTTCATTCATATTCCAATGAAATAATTATGTATTAGTTTGGATGCAATGGGGATCTAGTCATTCAGTAATGGCTTTATTGGTGGATTAATTGGTAAATAGAATGTAGGACTTACCTTAATGAGATGATACTTGACGTCAAACGGCTAACATTACAATCCCAGTTTATTTGTCATCTAGGGTTTTGGCATAATAATTAGAAAAATAATAAATAATATAATGAATGATGTAGTGTTCTTAATTATTACTCTCTTCCGCCTCAAATGTAAGAATTAAATAATTACTTTTTTTCCATACCAAGAAAATTAGTTTTGTTAGTTAAATGCTTTAAATATGCCACAATTTATTTTATTTTTTTACTTCTAAAGTGTGTTCCTGGTATATTCATTAAATGGAGTTACATCTTGATTAATTCATGATAATTAAATGAAAGGAAAAATAAGAAAATTGCGTGAACTAAACCACTAACTTCTTTCAATTCTTGCTTTAACAAGAAACAAAAAAACTCCTTTGCATTCTCTTATATTTTGAGACTAAATAAAAGTCCAACAATTTTATTATAGATAGGATCGGAGAGGGTAGTCCTTTATTATTGACTGGGAACGAAGGATGGATAAGAAGTATTAGGTGCTTAAGGGTATTCCTGTAAAAAGCAATTAATTTTCAATGATTTTCTAAAACAATGAATATATACAATGGGACATTGAGAATGAATTCTCTAAAACAACAAATAAATTTAAAATGAAGGAAACATTATTTTCGGGTGATGAATATATTTTCAGTCTATTAGAAAGAGAGGTTTAGGATTTAAATATCTTTGTGTTCATATGTCATAGTTTGTACAACTCACCTTACCTCTATTAGATTAGAAGGATTTTGTTTTCTATTCTTTGTTTGGTTCCAAAACAATATGATGAAAACCTAAACATAAAGCATTCTTCAACCAAACTATTAATGATGTTGATACCCTAATCTTTCAAAATGAAGTCCATTTGGGGAATAGTGATTATTGTGCTCGTGTTTGGATTAACTTTTTAAAAATGTTTTATGGTGTATGAAGTAAATATGTGAGAAGAACTCAACTGTAGCAACTACTACTTGCAACAAGAAGGGGAAAAAAAACGCGGGCAACTAAAGAGGAAGAATAGGATGTTAGGTTTAATTCCAAGCTGCCACAATATTCAAAGGAAGAAGTGATGGATTTTTAATCAAAGGATATGGATGTGAAACTGGAAAAAAAAAAACCCCAAATTATTTAGCTTCTTCATGAATAATGGTGACAAACTGAAAAAATGCACGAGGCAGTAAGCATGGATCTGGTCTCTGGCTTTTGAAATTTACATGCTTAAACTTGAAGTCTTTGTTATCAACATTATTATTGCAATATAAGCTCATATCCGGAATTTAACATATAAGCTTGATCTAACGATTGACAGAATAATTTAATTTAACATTATTTATCAAAACATGTGATACAACAATCTATATCGATCAGATTGTGGCTTCTGCATTTCCCAGATTAATGATCATGACTTTGTGCTGAAGGGGAAGATGAAACTGTAGAAAAATGAGCAAAACGAAAAATATAAAAACAAAATGATCTTTCTACACATATAAGGAGGACAAATCTCAATCTTCAAAAAGTGGTCAAGATGTCAATAACATTGTAGCCTAGTGGCATGTAAACTCTCCTTATAAATGAGAGGTCGTGAGTTCAATTCTACTTATAACCTTAAGTTGTCATTAGTGAACTAAAAAAAAAAAAGTGTTCAAGATTCAGTATGACGAATTGGAATAGTGAATCGGGAGGAGAAACTAGGGGGAAGTCCAGGTCGTCTTCATCTTCACTATAGTGCCATTGTTGAAATTAAGAGCATAGCTATGTTCATCATATTGAAACCTGTTGTTTTGCTTTCTGCAATTCATCTTTCTAATGAACGTCTTCCATTTAGGCCTTGCAATTACTTCCAAAGCCTCCTTCATCCTCCTCAACTTGTTCATCAGCCATCCTTCTCCTCCATCATTATCATCCTCCTCCTCGTGCTGTCGCCACCGTCTGTAATCGAAAACTCGGAAACAGCCACACCTGCTAGCCTCTTGTTCATAGTCATAGAAATCCCGCTCGTGTTCCTCAAAAGCGGGCATATTTGAAGTTTTGAAGAAACACATAGGTTGTATGGAGCCTTCTTTATCAGAGAGAAGACATTTTATAGGATTCTCGGAGAAGACATAGAAGGCTAGGAGGAAATGTCTAAGAAAACCAAGCTTAGCTATCAACAATTTTAAATCCTTCTACTACAACTTTAGGTTTTGGAGAGTCCAAGGAGCATCTCTTCACTAAAGCAAAAGATGAAGACATCTTCAAACAACTAATATGATCATACCCTTTAAAGACAAATTCTTATGACAATTGAGAAGTTAGAATAACATTTCAAAAATACACAAAGAAAACTTATAACAAACATAAAAGTTATCATGTTCACATCCATCGTTCTTTATTTTGTCAAAGGAACCATATGATATCAAATATTACTGTTTTTCCCGCTTACATACTTTTTATTTTCATTTTTTTTGCCAACCCCTTTACATACAATTATATGATAGAATATCACGTACAATCAGCCTTTATCAGGTCCACTTGTAAATTTTAGCTTGATGCATTTAAGTTTGAACCCTCAAATTCATCATTCAAAGAGAATCGAACTCTCAAGTCGATTGTAGTTAACACCAAAATTTAAGTATCATTGAACCGTATATAAAAAGGTGACTTTTTTTTTTTAATAAATGATATCCAATTTCTTTTACTCAGAGCAACTATTATTAACTTTTCTCTCTCTTCCAGAGGATTAATCACAGAATTCGAAATGATATTCCTGATCGTAGGAATACAACTACTGTTGATCTGCAACTGGCCGGCTTAAATTATAGGCAGCGTCTGTATTTAAAGTGTCCGTATCAACAACAAATTGCAAGGGCTGCCTGCCATAGTCCAAGTGGGGGTGTTGAAGAAACAGTGTAAATTCACTAAAGACCGTCCCCAAAAGATTAACCCAAAAAAAGGTATATATATATCACAACATAGGAGATATAGTAATACCATAGAATGGGGGGAAAATTGTAAAAATTCATTACAGTAATGACTCTTTACAAGTAATATAATATCAAAAGCAATATATGAGCAAAATCATTTCCTTCTATGCGACCCCAAAATGAACCGGCACATTCACTGAGGGAAGGAGGACGAAATGTAATAGAAACTACGCAATAAAACTAAACCTTAATTCTTTTTTCACGGACTGAGTTACTACTTGACCTTACCCATAATGAATTTCACAATGATGATAGACAAACACAAAGCAGACACAGAGGGAGAAGCTAGATTTTTAGGCAGCTGGTGTGGGTTCATTTGAGTACTTGAGCCTGCAATGCAGAGGGCTGCTGCTGTTGAGCTTGTCCTTTGGGAGGAATCTTGGATGCCAGAGAGCGTAGTTCATTTGCGATCTCAGTAAAGCTCGGCCTCTCTGATGGCTCTGATGACCAGCAACGCTCCATCAGCAATCTCCATTCTGGTTCACAAGAATCTGGAACCGGAGGCCGCAAAGTGTTGCTCACGATACCCCCTGAATAGTGCAAAGAAAAATAACTCACAAGCAGCTCAATGACAATAAAACACTAACTACGAATGCAACCTATAGATTACCTATAATAGCACCATAGTGCAAATCAGCATATGGTTCCTCTCCCGTGAGGATTTCCCACATCACAATACCAAACGAAAACACATCAACCTAACACAACAATATCAGATGAGAGATCTCATGTGTAGGGTATTCGTTAGAAAAGATCATAATTTAGTCAGAGCATAAACCTTCTCAGATACAAGGCTACTGCTTCCATTCAGGAGTTCTGGAGCCATCCAAGGCAGTGTTCCCCGCACACCACCAGAGATCAGTGTCTGACATTTCACCTTAGATAGACCCAAATCACCAACCTGGTATTATCAGAAGCACAAGTTGAAGACAGTTTGACGCTTGACAAGAATAGATAAAGGAATAATTAATATTGCCAATTGCTTCACGAAAATAATAGTGCTGTTGTACATGAGAAGCACACAACATTGGCGCTAAAAATCAATTAAAAGCAATTGATGAAGCAGTTAATGATTCGTTGTACCTAATATTGCGCATTTCAACCTAGAAGTCTGAAATATTAAAGGTGTCAATCGTGTGACAAAGGGGGAGAAAGAGAGCAAATTACAAAATACCAGGAGGAAAAAGCTGGAAGAATTTGGTCGAGAGTTTTGACTATTTTCTCTTACAATTGGAACAATCGACTTTATTAGTTCCAGTTTATTTTCAATTTTGTAGAAAGCGGCATCTCAGATTTCTTCCTCTTTCTGTTGATGTATTTTTTATCCACTTTAATGCATTCTCAGAACACAATTGACTAGGACATGAAGCATCTCAGACATATGTTGATTGTATGCTGTAATCTAACAACATTTTCTCCGTACCGAATGTCAGACACTACTTTTCCCTTGATCATCTGAATACTGTTCAGAACAACGTGACCATCATAACACCGTACATAACAGAAAACAGTGAAAAGAAATACCGATACAAGGAAGAAATAGAGCATCCCAATCTTAAATTAGGATTGAAAAGGAAAATCAGGAGAAGAATAAAAGCAGGAGCCAAAAAAAAATAATAATAATAATTTCTTCAACAGCATCATGTTTTAAACCCTAATATAAATATTTAAGCGTAGTCACTTTCAACATTAGTAACTGAAAGTGAACCAGCCCCCGTTGCTACATCAGGGAGCAAAACAAATCAAAGGAACTCTGAAAAGTGCAAAATTAAAACTAATTTCAGAACAATATTCAGTTGAACATAGGGGTAATATTGACAAGTGGGGTGTGAACCATTTGGGAGTGGGTATTTGTGGTATTTTCTAATTGACAGTCAGTAAGAGAGAGGAGGGTATGTAACGGGTATGGTTGTTGGAGAAGGGTGTGGAAAATCTGATGAGTGATTAGGAGAGTACCTGTGCCTCTCGAATGCACAGTGAGGTGTCATCTTCTTTGCTTAGGGTATACATGCATATGACTTCCACTCTGAGGGAGTTTTTAGCATTGAATAATACTATTTCAGGAGTTGTGTTAACATAAAAGGCATTAAAGCCATTCTTTCCTGGGTATGGCCTGAAGCTAGAAGTCAAAGTAGAGCTCCATTTGCTCCGTCTCCATAAGCTGTCAAATTACATGGATATAGCACTAAGAATTGAGGAGCGAAATTGGGTCCTGTCACCTTATGCAGATCCACATGGATCTAGGCCAACTCAGGTTGGGCCTGAAGATTAATTGGATGGGTAACAAGCCAATTCCACCCAATCACACTCATTTCAAGAGTCGCCCAAGACCAAGTTCTCATAGTCTTCTCTGTCCATCTCACATTCTCACCCAAGACAGCATTCTCATTGACTAAGCTAGCAGAGTCCAAAACCACAGACAACACATAAGGTCACAGTCCTAGTCACTTATACGAGCAAGACGGACCTCAAGAAGTTCACCAATGCTGGAATCGAATGTCACTGTGAGCTGGGGCTCTATTTCAAGCACGACAAGAAGTACAAACCAAACCATTGATGCAAAGAGAACAACTGCAGGTTCTTATTCTCTCTGAGGAGCAGTTGACGACAGCCAAAATACATATCAAACCAGGCAACCCAACCCAATCATCCCCAGAACCTGCAACTAAAAAAGCTAGTGTCCTTCTCTTGACCTCGAGGACAAGATCAATTTTCATGGCAGGAGTAACGTTGAACATAGGGATAATATTGACATGTGGGGTGTAAACCATGTGAGAGTGGGTTGGGTCTTGTTGTTGGAGAAGGGTGCAAAAAATCTGATGAGTGATTAGGAGAGTACTTGTACCTCTTGAATGCACAGCGAGGAGTCATTTTCTTTGCTTAGGGTACACCCCCATATGAGTTACACTCTGTGAAGGAGTTTTTACCATCGAATAATACTTTTTTTTTTTTTACCTTGACGAATAATACTATTTCAAAAGGTGTGTTTCCATCATATTCACGTCTTATGGAGGAGTTTTCACAAATGCAATCAAATTAAGGACAGAGTGAGCCTTATGTGAAGCAACACAATCAATCAATTATTTTCAATATTAAAAAGCTAACCAAGTTAAATCAATTGTTCCAAATGTTAATGCAATTCAGTAAGCAAATTGATGGGCATGCCATAAGTGATCTGGTCAACATTTATTCATCATTCCCAATTATTAAAATATATTCATATTCCATACTGCAGCAAGTATCAAATAGACAAAAATAACAAAATATTCATTCACTAGACTCCCATAACATCCAAGACTCTATTTATAGAGATATTAAGCTAATTAGCCAGACAACCTTTTTACCCCAAACTCCCCTTGCATTTCCTAATTCCCACATACCAGGGTGCCACAGAACACCATGTCATCATAAGTATCAAATCAAAGAAAAGCAAATGAAACACATCCCAGGATCCACAACACCAGTATCCTGAACTGATAACACGAGATCTACTGAAAATTTTATTATATATATGATCCGCACCATCTGTGTGTTGGACAGAAAAGTAAGTACGTAGACACCACAAATGTCACCAGTCCTTGATGTTTATTACCCAAGTTTTCTTAAAGACCCAATTATACCAGTAGAACCCTTTCACAATACATGACTCTGCATTTTGAACATTAATTACTTATTCTAATAACATTGCCACAATGTGGAAAAGGAAAATAAGAAAGAAAATAGGCAAAGGAAAAACTGCACCTAGACAATACTTCATGTGACAATTTGAGTTTTATATTTAGAGATACCTAGGGAAAATGAGAATGTTGTTTTTAATAGCCAGGTTGCATCAGGATGCAATGAATCCAACCACCGTAGCAACCCATGTGATACCCAATATTTTGACACTTGTCTGGATGCAAAATTATGATTCTGTCATTTGTGTAATTGCAACATCTATTCAGGATCCTTCCACTCAGGTATCGACCCAGGAAAATCAATGTAAGTCCTTATTGATAATCCATGGCCTTAGTCATTTCTGAATTTTATTAGTGATTTGTGCGCGTGTTTATAAT